CTTTAGTAAACAAATTATACTAGATGAAAATAAGGAAACTGAAGCAGTAAATGTTTTCAAAAACAAGCGTATTTTTATAGACAAGGAAGATATTTCCTCCGGAAACGTTACCAATATAATAAGAAGACACTTTGATAGAGGAAAAATAGCAATATTTTCTAAACTCAATAATTATTATTACAACAAGTTACAGCAAACTCTATTAAGTTCCTTTTCAAATACAAAAAGTACATCTTTCGTAAAGTGCAGCTATTTTGCATCAGACTTAGAAGAAGAAACAGAACTCAAAAAACAAATTATTAAAAAATTACCCCGTAGTAAAAATTTAATACGCATTGAATGTTTGTAAGACACTAAATTTATTTTTAAAAATGAACTGCTTATATAGTAACTTAAAATCTATCCTTATCACTAAATGCATGATATTGGTTTATCTCTCAAATTGAAGATACAAAATATTTGATCATAAAATAAATAAAGAAAATATTCTATCCTAAATAATCAAGTAATTGTTATCTTCTTGTGCGTTGGTGGTATTTTGCTTACATGAATGATAAGCAATTTAAACAACCACCACTGCTAATGTGCACGGATACATTAAAAAACCAATTTTATCATGCCTAAATATAAAATAGCTAAATAGTAAAGGCCGCAGAGTTTTCCTTAAGATAAGAATGTTGAGAAAATTTATTTAAATTTGAACATTCTGCGGCCCGCCAAAGTGTAATAAAATATTTTAGTATTAGGTTTCTTGTGGTCGACGAATAATAATCACATTCGCCTTCCCCTTTAACAAACATTTTCTTATAAAGTAAACTAGGATAATCATGATAAATATACATAAAATACTTAATGATATATGTCCAGTTGCGTGATGGAAGTGTAAACCTTTCAGGGTCCAATCTTCTGCTTGGATGCGGTGAATCTGTTGCTTAATTTTAATGATGTCTTCTTTATGATCGATTAAGTGTGAATTTAATGGCTTCAATAGATCAGCTGATGTAGACTAGGTAAGGTTGAGCTATGGACGCCACTACGTTCGTATCGCCATGTTTGACCGGAACTGGAACTACCTTAAAAATGTTAGAAAATTTTATTGTAATCAGAGGAATTTGTATTTTGATAACTAGCTTGCTGTTGACAATTATTGCCTCTCCTGTTAGAAGACGGATAATTGTGGCAATTTGATTGGATGTATCACCAGGTAATTTCATCTTCTCTGGTAGCCATGCTTTTATTTTTGCAATTTCCAAGCTAAGTTGTTCCGGTCTTAACAGAACTGAACTAATTTTTCCATGATTAACATCAATTAGTAGCCTTAGCACTTGAAATTGAATCTTTTCTATTTCTTGTAGTTGAGCCTCCATCTGATTTGCGACTGCCATAAATTTAATGATCTCTTTATAGACAAAATATTGTTCATTTGTGATCTCGATCATGTTGTCAACCTTTTCCTGAATTTGCTTATAACCTTCGTTTACTTCGTTGGTGGTTTTCTGTAAAACATTTATCGTAGCATTAACCAATGAGGTTTGATTGCGAAGCAGGTTTTCAATCTTGAATTGGTTGCTTAAAAGATTTCTCATGTCGTGTTCTAATTCTTCACGATCGTCATTGTCCATTAATCCAAACAGTAGGTGGTATATGGAACCAACAGCATTTAAAGATCTCTTGATACGATTATTGTCTTTTAAGCCAAATAACTTATTATTGGATTTTACTTCGGCAATTTTATGTTTCATTCTTATCAGAGTTTCTTCACAATGATATCTAAACTCTCCAAGTCTACCACATATCTGCCAACTACGCTCAATTAAATCTGTTAGCTGCGAAACTGATGCTATATATGTCGTTAAATCGTAATAGACCACCATGTTCCATTTTGAAGATGTAACATCCATTTTACCTAAGTGATCTAAATAAACCGCTGTTCCTTCATTAAATGGAGATATTATTGTCTTTGTTGTGTTTTGTACCGCTGCTACTTGACCAAACACTAACAAGAACATTGCTAGAAATATTTTGGAGATGTTCATTTCTGGTTTCTTAGATGCTCCCTTTAACTTAGGACCGATATCTGGATCATGATAAACATCTAAAGGACATATTTTTGTTACCGGTCTTTTTACAATGGTATCTTGCATCTTAACTGTAACAACTCGAGTTTTGCCATCCGTACCATTATGTGTTTCAATAATTTTACCCAAAGGCCATCTAGCTGGTGATGTGTTTTCATCTTTGATAAGAACTACCTGATCCTTTTCTATATTTGGGGCAGAATGCTTCCACTTGCGACGATGTTGAAGACTTGCAAGATATTCATTTTTCCATTTATTCCAGAAATCACTTTTTATTTTCTGAATTATTTTCCACCGATTAAGAGAATCAATTGATTTTGAACAACTTTCCTCTGGAATATCAATTAAAGGTCTTCCAACTAGGAAATGGCCGGGAGTTAAAACATCAGTATTCTCTGTATCATCTCGTACTTCACATAACGGTCTAGAATTTAACACTGCTTCCACTTGAATTAACAGTGTCGACATTTCTTCATAAGTTAATTTCACTTCACCAATGACTCGTCTTAAATGATGTTTCATCGACTTGACTGATTCCTCCAAAGTGAGGACCTCCCGGGGGAATAAAATGCCATGTAATTTTTTCCGCTGCCATCGTTCCAGCAAGTGATGAAAGTTTTCTAATAGCTTTTTCATATTCATCATCTATTTTCTTAGCAGCACCGACAAAATTTGTACCATTATCTGAATATAAATGCGAACTTTTGCCTCTTCTACCGAAAAATCTTCTAAGGGCAGCCAGAAACGCGTCTGTTGACAGGTCACTTACAGCTTCTAAATGGATTGCTTTCGTAGCCATACAAATAAAAACGGCTATATAACCTTTATATGATTTCTGACCTCTTCCTTTCGATACTCTCATTTGTACGGTTCTGCATAATCTATTCCTGCATGCTCAAATGGCTTCGATATTGACACTCTGCTTTCCGGTAGGTTCCCCATTAACTGTGTAGCGGTTTCACGCCTATATCGTATACATCTAACACAACTTCGAACATACCTTTTAATAATATTTCTAGCATTAATTATCCAATATTGCCGCCTCAGCATATTTTCCATTAGTTTTATACCGCCATGTAGTGTAGTTTTATGATAATCATCAACTATTAGCATCGTTAAGTGACATTTTGGTAATAGTATTGGATGTTTTCTAGCAAAAGAGAATGGAGAATTTTCTAACCGGCCTCTGACTCGCAGTATTTCATTTTTATCCAGAAACGGGTAAAGACTACAAATTTTATAACCAGATGGAAGTTCTCTTCTGTTTTTGATCAAGTTGATTTCTTTTGTGAAATATAAATGTTGAGTATGCCGTATTATAATATTTTCTGCCTCCCTTAATTCTTCTACTGTCAACCACACAGGAAACTTCTCCTTTTTTAGCTTTCTGATGAATCTGCTTATATATGCAATGACGTATAATAATTTCCTATAATTGGAATACCGTTCTATTATATCGTTGATTATATTCTGTGAAGAGTTTATATTATTTGTTGCACAAAGAACAGATTCAGTTGCTGTTGGCCAGTTTGATTCATCTTTTAACCATGTAGGACCATTCCACCATAATCTATGTGCTGCAAGTTTTTCTGGTTTCAAGCCCCTTGAAGCCACATCCGCTGGATTATCTTCTGACCTAACATGATTCCACGTTGCCGAAGGCATGCATTGCTTGATTTCTCTTACACGAGTCCCAATAAATTTATCTTTAGTTTTATTTTCGTTCTTGATCCATGATAATGCTATTGTTGAATCGCTCCAAGCATATATTTTGACTTCTCTGTTTATAACTTCTTTAATGCTTTTCATAAGTTTTCCTAACAGATGAGCTCCACATAACTCAAGCTTGGGTAATGTCTTTTTGTTTTTTATCGGATTTACTTTAGACTTTGCTGCTAGAATAGTAATAGCATTAGAAGTTTTAGCATAAACTACTGCTGCATAAGCCTTCTCTGAAGCGTCCGCAAATCCATGAAGCTCTAAACTTGTTTCAGCTAAAGTTGATATCCATCTAGGAATTCTTATATCCTTAATAGTCGAAATCCTTGAAACAATCGCATTCCATTCGTGAGATAATTTAACGTCTAACTTCGTATCCCACGTCAAGTTCATAAGCCATAATTTTTGTATAAATAATTTCGCCATTGTTGTTGTTGGTGTCAACCATCCAAGTGGATCATAGATTCGAGCCAATATAGACAGTGCCTTGCGTTTAGTTATGTTAGTACTATCTACTGACTCGATGTAAAAGGTGAAATTGTCTGATTTCGGCACCCATTGTATACCGAGCGTCTTAACAGCTTCTCCGTCTTCTACTTTAATAATATAACTGTCTCCAGAGTCCGAAATTTCACCTAAAATTCGCTTTTCGTTTGCCATCCATTTTCGCAAATGAAATCCAAACTTTTCTAGCTGCCGACTTTTTTCAAATTGAATGTTTACACATTCCTTTATGGAGTCCGCACCTGTCATCAAATCGTCCATATAGAAATCATTTTTTATTATCTGATATAACTTTGAGTTTTTATCTGCACAATCATAAGCAACTTCTAGTAGAGCTCTTTTTGCCAAGAACGGTGCACAAGAAGTTCCGTAGGTTACTGTTTTCAGTACAAATTCTTCTATTGGTTTTTCTGGATCTTCACGCCATAGGATAGTTTGGTACGGCTGATCTTCTTCTGCTACCAACACCTGCCGATACATTTTTTCTATATCAGCTGTCATAACGTACTTCCACAATCTCCACTTGATTAGTAGCTGAAATATGTCCAACTGTAGCTTAGGTCCAGTGTGTAGTATTTCATTCAAGCTTTTTCCGTTAGTAGTTTTTGCTGAAGCATCAAATACTACCCGAACTTTTGTTGTTGAGTGGTCATCTCTTATTACAGCTTGATGAGGCATATAAAATTTACCAAATATCATTTAAGAAACTTTCTGCATGTGACCCATTTCCATATATTCCTTCATGAACTTGATATATTCTTTTTTTAGCTTAGAGTTTCTTTTAAATCTTTTTTCCAAACACAAAAGCCTGGCCATAGCCATTTTCCTAGAGTCTCCTAGTTCGTTTTCTTTTTTAAATGGTAATTTTACGATAAATCTGTTTTCCTTATTTAGCGTTGTTGTTGATTTAAACCAATTTTCACATTCTTTATCAGTTTCATTTATTTCAGATGCTTCACAAACTTCTTCAATTTCCCAAAATCTCTCAATGTTTGAAGTAACTGCTGATATTATAGTTTTGACTGTATTGTTTGTGTTGATAACTCCAGATAATATCCAACCAAGGGAAGTTTCTTGACCTAAGATTTTACCCCATTTTCTCAAACCCGGCTGCAATATCTCGGTAAGGATATCTGCTCCCAGCACTATATCTATCCGGTCAGATTTATTAAACATAGGATCAGCTAAACAATAATTGTCCCATTTTTTTAAATCTTCATTAAACGAATTATTAGGTTGTGCTGATGTTAGCTTGCTAAGAACCATAGCTTTAATTTTGTAACTGTTATTGCTTTTAAATCTTGGACGAATTACGAGTTCTACTGTTGATTTTGATATTCCTACTAATGTATTCCTAGTCCAATCAGATCCGTTCTTGATTTAGTTCTATGTAATCTTAATATTTGTGCTGCTTCCTCTGAAATTGATGTCCTCTGTGAACCTTGATCTAGCAGCGCTCTTAACAAAACCTTTTCACCACTTGCAGAATCCGCTTGAATCTGTGCTGTTGCTAATAAAGTGATTGCACTATTTTCTTTGGTAATCATGCTTGCAGCTGCACCAGCACTAGTTTGTGGTTTATTTTGCACAATTCTCTGAAAGTGTAGCATACTTTGATGCTGTCCTCCACATTGCTCACACTTTTTATCCAGCTTATAGCATTTCTTGTCATTTTTGTGTGCAAAACATATTTTACATAACTTTGTTTTATTAATCCAGGAGTTTTTATCACTAACCGATAGCTGAGTAAACTTCCGACATTCAATAACAGAGTGACCTACTGTGTTACAAAACATACATTGTTTTTGTGAAATTTGAAACACATTTGTCGATTTTATTTTTTTGTCTGTAATATTTCCTTTTTTGCAGCCAACCGATTCGAGAGCTAAATATTGTTGCTCTAAAAATGTCATAACATCTTTTACTGTTTGAATTTCTTTTGTTTTTTGAACGCATTGTTCATACCTCAGCAAACCTTCTTTATCCAGTTTTCGTATGAGAATTCTTGCTATAAATGGATCTGCATCCTCAATTGGTATTCCCATAGCTTTTATAGCTTGATATGATTCTGTTGCAGTATCCAGCAACTATTTAATACTTGCAGCATTTTGTATATTAACGCTGCTATGATCAATGATTCTATCAAATAGCGTACAAAACAATAGCCTTCTGTTATTATACCTATGCTCTAATATTGTCCATGCTGCATTGTAGTTTTCTCCTGTTACTTGAAGATGTTGAATTAGCCGTGCAGCATCCCCTTTTATGGCGTTTTTCAGTCGATAAAATTTCTCAACATTAGATAGCATCTTGTTACTATCTACTAGTTTTGAGAATATTTCTTGGAAAGAGTTCCAATTGTCTACAGTTCCATTAAAAATTGGCAGTCTTAAGTCTTCTAAACGTGTTGGATTGCAGTGTTCAGTCGCTATATTTTCGTCATATTTTATCGCAATTTCTTCTAAGATTTCTT